AATATATCGTGTCATTCCAGATGTAAGGTAGGCAAGTACAAGGTACTTACACAGCATTAAAGACATTTATTTCCTTTATTGATTTTATTATATAAACCGTACATGATTTTTGAAAAAGTTTCAAATGATTCAGATTACCTTAAAATTAAAAGTGAAAGGCCTTCCTGCCACTTTCCCCTCTATCCCACTCCCCAGAGAAAACTACAGCAACAGGCCCAGCTGGATGCGTCCTCTGAGACCTTGTCCGCACAGGTAGATACAGCCCCCAAAACAACTAGGATGGGGAGGGGCGCTTCATACTCACAATCAAGTTCTGTATTAGTGTATATGTAATTCCACAAACTTCCTTCCATATTAATTCAAAAGCTCTACACTACCACCGCTCTTTTTTTGTTAATGACTTCATAGTACATTAAGTTAAGCAATCTCTTTGGAGGACTTTTGACTCTTGTTTGATGTTGACACAAGATCAATGCACGTGAACTATTTGCAAAGAATGCAATACAGAAGTGTATGAAGTAAAGGTTGTCCCCCACCTCCATGCCCACCATCCGCTCACCCTGTTCCCTAGAAATAATCCCTATTAACAGTTTGGTGCACACAACCTTTCCTGACCGTTTCTGTGAGTGTTATGTGTAAAGTGGCTGCACCAATGCCCGGTTTGGGGAAACTGACTTCCCATAACCTCAGATAGATCCTTCTAAACCACTCCCCAAAAAATGTAGGCTCTAAGTTAAAAACAAAAAGTTTGTTAGGCAATTTTAACTTCCGCACAAGACCAGTCAGCAATTCATATAAGTTCCTCCCACGTAGAAATTCCAGAGTCCACGTGGGTGCAAATCACGTATATGTATATACATGCAGATTTTTGCTTGTTCTGACAAAAATGGAATCCTACTACACATACTATTATGTAGCTTTATCTTTTCACCGAACAATATATCATAGGTGTCCTTCTATATGAGTAATGATAATAATGGCTAATACTAATTGTACCAAGGACTGTTTAAAGTGTTTTACATGGATGAATTTATTTAATCCTCACAACAGTCTTAGGAAGTATGGATTTTTATGACACAGGATGGTTGAAGAACGTACCGAAAGTGCCACAGCCTAGAAAGTCGGGGAGTGAGGACTTGAACTCGGGCAGTATGGATCCAGAGTCTGCAGTTTTTAGCCACTATGATCTATATGTACAGAACGACCTCATTGTTTTAAATGGCTGTGTGATAAGTACCTGACAAAATGTATTTCATCATTCCCTTATTGATGAGCATTTAAATTGTCTACAATTATTTACTATTGCAAACAATGCTACTGTAAGACATTTTTACAATTATATGTGTATGAAGTCACGTATTTCTTTATGTAGACGTGAAATTGTCAGGCAAAAAAAAAAGGATGCCTTTAACATCTCGTTCTATACAGTAACGTCTAGCACTTACAATGCTGCTGCTAATCACTACTGTTTAAAGCTCTAAGCATTTACATAGTTGCTTCTCCCTTCGAACTACTTATAGTTTTATTTTTCCTGCTAAGTAGTTTTATATTCTTACTAGACACTTTGGTTTGAATAGTGGCCTTGAGATACTTCCTATCTAGAATTTACTTCAACTTTCAAAAACAGACACGAAGGAATTGGGGGAGGGGGTGAACAGGGGGCAGAGAAGAGGCCACTGAGAAACCAAAATAAAATACCACAAAATCCAGGAACTAAAAACTTACATCTTCCACTCCTTAGAAGTCCCCTCTCCCCTCTTGTAGGCCCTACCTAGTCACACTAACCGTGTGTGCAGTTCCAATAAGGTGGGTAATCCTGCTCCATGGTCAAAGCAGATTAGAAGCAGAATATTAGAAAGCAGTCTTCTGGGCAGGGACATGGATGACAGAAGTGCTAACGGACACCCTTACAAACAAGGGAAGAAGCAGGAAAACTATGAAAAGAAGCTATAGGAACTCAAAAAGCAAAGCGTTCTGGGGTTATTTATACAGACGGTCCCAACTTACAGTGGTTCGACTTAGAATGGTTTGACCAATTTTTTGACTTTATGGTGGTGCCAAAGCACTTCAGGGGCCGGCCCAGTGGTGCAGCGGTTAAATTCACATGTTCTGCTTGGGTGGCCCGGGGTTCGCCGGTTCGGATCCCGGGTGCGGACATGGCACCGCTTGGCAAGCCATGCTGTGGCAGGCATCCCACATATGAAGTAGAGGAAGATGGGCATGGATGTTAGCTCAGGGCCAGTCTTCCTCAGCAAAAAGAGGAGGATTGGCAGCAGTTAGCTCAGGGCTAATCTTCCTCAAAAAAAAGGAAACTGTACTTCAAATTTTGAATTTTGATCTCTTCCTGGGCTAGCGATAGGTGGTACGATTCTCTGTGGTGACGCTGGGCAGTGGCAGTGAACCACAGCTCCGAGGGAGCCCTGTGATCACAAAGGTAAACAATTCATACACTGACAACCGTTCTGTACCCATACAACCATTGTTTTTCACTTTCAGTACAGTATTCAAGAAATTACATGAGATACTCGACATTGTATTATAAAATAGACTTTATGTTAGATGATTTTGCCCAGCTGTAGGCTAATATAAGAGTTCTCAGCCATTTAAGGTAAGCTAGGCTAGGCTATGGTGTTCGGTAGGTTAGGTGTATTAAATGCATTTTCCATTTATGACATTTTCAAGTTTTCCATAGATTTATCAGGACATAACCCCATCATAAGCCGAGGAAGATATGTAAAATATAAAAAGCACTACCCACCCCATAGGCCCTGAAATTGTTTCACTTGAATAACTCGTGTTCATGATGCTAATCCTGACATCAAACAGTAGTAAAATTAGGGGCCGGCTCATGGTGTAGCGGTTAAGTTCAGCATGCTCTGCTTCAGCCAGCCAGGTTTGCAGGTTTGGATCCAGGGCACAGACCTACACCACTCAGCAGCCATGCCTTCGCAGTGACCCACATATAAAGTGGAGGAAGATTGGCACAGATGTTAGCTTAGGGCTAATCTTCCTCAAACAAAAGAGGAGGAAGATAGGCAATGGATTTTAGCTCAGGGCTAATCTTCCTCAGCAAAAAAAAAAAAAAAAAAAGAAAAGAAAGAATTAGTAAAATTATGTCTAATATATCAGCATCAAAAATCAAGGAAGTATGGAGTATATTTTACTAAGCTTTTCATCTAAAATGATTACAAATGATTAATCATTAATAATGCTAAATGATTATAGCCATTTCAGGTACCTAAAAGGATTAATTCTAAACTATCTTGAAAAATCCAGCTATACCAAATGATTCATTATCCATTCCCAAAGAGCTCCAGACAGGCCAAAATTCTATATAATTAAGTCTTATATAGTCCTCATTTTGGTCACCAAAAAAGTCAGGGACTAGATTCAATCTGCCAACAAAGTCTACACACTAATGATCTTCATCTCTTCTCTTTACAGTCAGTTATTGATTAAGGACGTATTTCACTGCCCATAGAACATTCCACTTTCTAAAAATCATACTCAGAAACATCAGTCTCTAACCACCATAAGAATCCTTCCACTCTTTCACTCTCTAATTCCTGTGGATTTTGAGAGCATTTTATTCCATTTATTTTTTATTTTGTGCTGAGGAAGATTGGCCCTGAGCTAACATCCATGCCCATCTTCCTCTATTTTATATGTGAGACGCCTGCCACAGCATGGCTTGATAAGCAGTATGTCGGTCTGTGCCCAGGATCCAAACTGGCAAAGCAGAGCACCAAACTTAGTCACTGTGCCACCAGGCCAGCCCCCTAGAGAGCATTTCAGATCCTCATCATTACCTTGAATGTTTTGACCACTTTCTGGTCTATGTGTCCTCTCCCAAGCATTATTTTTCCATTCTTAACCTAAACTCCAAAGATGACAATGAATTCTTACTAGCACCTTCAAGTCTCTCTTTCCTTGGTTTGTATCTCACAGACAGTGCCAATTAATTCCCAACTTTGGGCAAACCCTCCTCTTCACTTTATTTTGCCCTCTCACGTACCACTGGAGAAAGGCAAAAAGCAGACCTGGTCCAATTTAATAGTACATCTTACATTTTATTTATTTATTTTTACAATTTATTTATTATTTATTTTATTTTTTTATCGTAAAGGGTTTTTCTTTTTTATTGTGTTTAGCATAGGCAAAATTATTTAAAGTCAATACATTTTCATTTAAGAAATTTCACATGTTGTGATTCCTTGTTACTGAACCAAAGTGGGTTCGCCTCCTAGCGAGTTAAAATCAGACTCTACCAGAAGTAGTTGTCATACAAAGTAAAGCAGGGGCCCTTTATTTCGGATGGGGAATGAATATTCAAAAGAGTGGGGTGGGCATTCACTTGCGCAGGCTCAGCTGGCGTCTCTCAGCTTATCTGCATGCTGCTCTTGCTTTGGGCTCTATCTGGTTCAGGGTGGTTGGTGATTGCATCTCTTAAAATAACAACAACAACAACAAAAAACAATTTGGAGAAACAGTTAAATGCTTCTGAAACCTCTCTTGTTCCTCAGGGTAATTAGTCAGCGACACTTCCACTGCCAATCACCTTAGTTCCTCCAGAGTTTGAGTCATAATCTCCAAGATAGCCCTTTTAAAAAGACGTTTTGCGCAATCCGTGGTTGTCTTGTCAGTCGGTTCACAATTCTTTCAGTTGGGCTTCCTTTGTCTCCACTTGAGTATGGACATACTTTAAAAATTCCCCACCTGTAATCTTTGGGATCCAATTTCTTCAACCAAGTTCCTTTAGGGCCACATTTAGGGTCACAGTCCATGGATCTGCCTGATTCTTCTTGTAATTGAAATTACAACAATTTGTTGTAATTTGTTGTAATTGAAATTGTTCTCAATTTCAGACACCCTCTAAACAGGAGTAAATGCAAATCATATTTACTCATAAGCTTTCTCACCCTAGAATAGTACAGATCATTGGGACATGCAATACCTAAGACAAAAAAGATTGACTATTAGGTCTCTCATAGCTTTAGCAGCTCTGTCTTGTAGTTCTTTCCCACCGATCTAACAGCCAGTTCTGTGAGTAAAGGAAACCTCATTACTCTGTGAGGCGTTTCCAACAATGTAGGTCTACAGAAAAAGCCCCATCCGGATAGACCTCAACAGGACGCCTTGCATTTTAGAGGCTGTGGCAAGCTTTCCTCCAACGATGGTATTTATCCCTCTACTAGAAGACCGTATCTCCTCTGTTGCCTTTAGACAGTGATTTCACAGATTTTTGTTCATGTATCCCCTGCAAATTTTGAAAAACAATGTAATCCATTCACACATTTTCAGGTTGACATCTAAAATTTTCCCTCATAACTTAAATAATTGAAAAGAAGAAATTTTGACAACAAATTCTATTGTAAATATTAGCATTTTAGGGGCCGGCTCGGTGGCACGGAGGTTAAGTTCATACATTCCGCTTCGGTGGCCCAGGGTTCACCAGTTCAGATCCCCGGTGCGGACCTGGCACCACTTGGCAAGCCATGCTGTGTTAGGCGTCCCACATATAAAGTGGACGAACATGGGCACAGATGTTAGCTCAGAGCCAGTCTTCCTCAGCAAAGAGAGGAGAATTGACAGCAGATGTTAGCTCAGGGCAAATCTTCCTCAAAGAAAAAAATTAGCATTTTAAGTAAAGACCCTTCTATCACTTTTTAAAAAATATGTATAGAATCCAAATAAGATATTGATTTGATGCCTACCATCATCTATTAAAAAAACACATGAAGTTCTTAATAATCAGAAATTTTACATAATTGCATTTTCTTCTTGAAGTCATATTTCAATTTTTCAATTTTACTTCCCCCACAATAATTTTTTTCTTTATTGCAGTAACATTGGTTTATAGTTTTGGGGGGATTTTTTTGCTTGAGGAACATTAGCCCTGAACTAACATCTGTGCCAGTCTTTCCTCTATTTTGTTTATGGGTCACCACCACAGCATGGCATGACGAGTGGTGTGGGTCCGCGCCTGGCATCCGAACCTGAGAACCCGGGCCACTGGAGTGGAGTGCACTGAACTTAACCACTACGCCGTGGGGCTGGCCCTCCCCACAGTAATTTATACTGATATGGTATAGCTTTAACTTTGAAAGTCTTACTGTTCACTTTGTCATCCTTTTCTTCAACAAAAATATGTATATGAATGAAAATATTAAAAAAATTTTCAATGGTCATTTAAAAATTTATTGAGCAATCATCATTTATACTACACAACTTATCGAAACAATGTAAATATATTACAACTCTTTTTAAAGCTTTAAGTATCAATGGTTAGCATTTTTTTTAACTTTATATGTGTTACTTTTTATTATTGAGAGTTTCACATATATTCAAAATAAGCAGGATAATATACTGAACCCCCTATACACTTTATCCGAGAAGTACTATCAACAGTCTACCATTCTTGGGGCCACACCCAGTGGTGCAGCAGTTACGTGCGCACGTTCTACTTCGGTGGCCCAGGGTTCACCAGTTCAGATCCCAGGTGCAGACATGTCACCTCTTGGCAAGCCATGCTGTGGTAGGTGTCTCACATATAAAGTAGAGGAAGATGGGTACGGATGTTAGCTCAGGGCCAGTCTTCCTCAGCAAAAAGAGGAGGATTAGCAGATGTTAGCTCAGGGCTAGTCTTCCTCGGGGGAAAAAAAAAATTCTACCATTCTTGTTTCATCTATAGCTCTTTGCTCCCCACCTCTTAATTTTACAGGTTTTAGGTAAAAAATCTATATATATTGAACTGTACAAATCTTAGTTATACATTTTTAATCCAGTTTTTTTTTTAAGATTTTATTTTTCCTTTTTCTCCCAAAGCCCCCCGGTACATAGTTGTGTGTTTTTTAGTTGTGGGTCCTTCTAGTTGTGGCATGTGGGATGCTGCCACCTCAGCCATGTCCACACCCAGGATTTGAACTGGCGAAACCCTGGGCCACCGAAGCAGAGTGTGCGAACTTAACCACTCAGCCACAGGGCCGGCCCCTAAGCCAGTTTTTTAAATTTGAGCTTCATAATAGTTTACATCATTGTGAAATTTCAGTTGTCCATTATTTCTTGTCTGTCGCCACATTAGTTCTCCCCTTCACCCCTGGTGCCCAACCTCTACCCCCCTTCTCCTAGTAACCACTGAACTGTTTTCTTTGTCCATGTGTTTGTTTATATTCCACAAATGAGTGAAAGCATCTGGTGTTTGTCTTTCTCAGTCTGGCTTATTTTGCTTAGCATAATTTCCTCCAGGTCCATCCATGTTGTTGTCTTTTTTATGGCTGAGTAGTATTCCATTGTATGTATATGTGTATATATATATATATATATATATATATATACCATATTTTGAGGAAGATTAGCTCTGAGCTAACATCTGCTGCCAATCCTTCTCTTTTTCCTGAGGAAGACTACCCCTGAGCTAACATCCATGCCCATCTTCCTCTACTTTATACATGGGACACCTACCACAGCATGGCTTTTGCCAAGTGGTGCCATGTCTGCACCCAGGATCCGAACCGGCGAACCCCAGGTTCCCCGAGAAGCAGAACGTGCAAACTTAACTGCTGCACCACCGGGCCAGCCCCATATTCAGCGTTTAAACAAACATCATGTATTATCTCCCCCTTCCTATCCACTTACTTTCAAAAAGTACGGGAGTTGCCTTATAATAGGAAGAGTGATACAGAAGAACAAACGTTGTTGGTAAAGACAAAAGCCAAGTTGTAAAGCAAATAGGAACACACCCAGCTGAGGTCAAAGCAAAGGTGAACATTTCTAAGCCAGCGAGAACATCAACTGTGACCAGGTAAGGTCAACACATTCAGAAAATCATTTGGCCACATTGCAGCCTGCCCTGGTCTCGTCCCCAAGAGCATCAGGGCCTAGTCAGTGGAGCCTTTGGGGGAGAACTGGCCTCCGGTGTCTAGCAACCAGCCAGCTCGGAAGATGAGAACTGACCCTGAGTCATGAATGCCTAGTATGTTTCATGCGAATCCAGCTTTTGCATTCAGGAGCTCAAAGAACTACTTAATTCCAATCCCCACCCAGAGACATACACTGTGCCTCTGCCCAGATTACCTTTGTAACTGGATCTATGAAGTAGGGAAGCTTTGTAAAATAGTACTATCGATACTATCTAACAGAGGAAAAATAACTGCTGCAACCCAGCCTGAATTTACCCCAGTCTAAGAAATGCATTGTCTCTTTTGTAATCCTCAATTCCCCCCACCCCCTGAGAGGATCTTGCTATCCCTGTGTCACCAACCCTACGCTTCTGTGCCTTCTCACATGCACCCCCAAACCCTCCACTGAGCCCTCTGGAATCTGCTTAGTAGTTATGAACACCCCTACGTCCTCAACAGCTTCACGGAACCCACTCTGACTTCCTACCTTATCTGATAATGCCTTTCCCCATGTAGCGATCTCCAGTATAAACTGCGAAGTCCCTGACATCGCATATTCCACTGGGTCAGATGATAAAATCAGCATCCTCCCAGCTCCTCACAATTCTACCTACAATTCTACCACTTAAGCTTTCCCATCTTTTAGCCCACTCACTAACCTGTCATTCTGCTTTTCACTCAATTACTCCAATACACTCATTCTTTTCTGAAAGTTAGGTTTTTTGAGTTACAAATTTTTTTTTTTTTTGAGGAACATTAGCCCTGAGCTAACTGCTGCCAATCCTCCTCTTTTTGCTGAGGAAGCCTGGCCCTGAGCTAACATCTGTGCCCATCTTCTTCTACTTTCTACGTGGGACGCCTACTACAGCATGGCTTGCCAAGTGGTGCTATGTCCGCACCCGGGATCTGAACCGGCGAACCCCAGACCGCCAAGGAGTGGAACGTTGGAACTTAACTGCTGTGCCACCGGGCTGGCCCCAAGTTACAAAATTTTCAAGCTTTATCCAGGTTTAATTGATAAACAATAAACTACATATATTTAAAGGGTACAATTTGATGCGTCTGGACATACATTTACAATCAGGAAAACATCATGACCATCAATATAATGAACACATTTGTCACCTCCAAAAGTTTCCTCATGGTCTGTTGTAATTTCTACCTCTCCTTTCCCAGGCAAGCACTGATCTGCTTTCTGTTACTGTAGATTAGTTTATATTTCCTAAAATTTTATATAAATGGAATCGTATACTATGTATTCTTTTTTGTTTTACCCCTTTCAATTTGAGATTTCATCTAGGTTGTGGCTTGTATCAATAGTGCATTCCTTTTCATTGCTGAGTAGCATTCCATTGTATGGCTACATCACTACTGTTTATTTTTTATCCATTCATCAGTTACTACACATTGAGATGTTTCCAGTTGTTTTTTTTTCCCAAAGATTGGCACCTGACCTAACATCTGTTGCCAATCTTCTTTTCTTTCTTTTCCTCCTCACCCCAAAGCCCCCCATTACATAGTTGTATATTCTAGTTGTGGTGCCTCTGGTTGTGGCATTGGGATGCCGCCTCAGCATGGCCTGACGAGCAGTGCCATGTCCACACCCAGGATCCGAACCAGCAAAACCCCAGGCCATTGAAGCAGAGCATGCAAACCCAACCAGTCAGTCATGGGGCCGCCCCTCCAGTTTTTAACTAATACAGAAAAAGCTGCTGTGAAAAGTCATAGACAAATATGCTTTCATGTCTATTGAGGTATAATCCATTTACAATAAAATTGCACATTTTTTTTTTTGAGGAAGATTAGCCCTGAGCTTTTTTTCTTTTTGCTGAGGAAGACTGGCCCTGAGCTAACATCCATGCCTGTCTTCCTCTATTTTATATGTGAGAGCGCCTGCTGCAGCATGGCTTAGCAAGCAGTGGGTAGGTCCGCACCCAGGATCTGAACCAGTGAACCCTGGGTTGCCAAAGCAGAACTTGTAAACTTAACCGCTGCACCACTGGGCCGGCCCAAAATTGCACATTTTTAAGGTGTACAATTCTATTTGACAAATGTACATGGTATATAATTTGACAGACATATGCAGTCATGTAACCGCCACCATAATTAAAGCCATAGAGTATGTCTATCACCCCAAAAAGTTCCCGTGAGTCCTTTTCCTCCACTCCCAGAGCGTGGCAACCACTGATTTGATTTCTGTCCCTGTAGCTCTGTCTTTTTAGAATGTCAT